TCCCCCCTAACCCCCCCCCCCTTAAAAATCATAGATGTACATAACATCTTTATTTTTGTCTATTTACTGTTTTTTAATGTGGTGCTAAGTATCGAATTCAGTGTCTCAAACATGGTAGGTAAGTGCTCTACCACTGAGCCACAACCCCAGCACAAAATTCTTAAGGCCCAATCCAACTATTACTCCTTTCTAAAATTTCCCAGATTTCTTGGAGGCTATTTGGTATGTTGAAAAATACAATGGTCTGTGAAGTCAGACTAGGGTTTGACTAACTTAGCTAGCCTGAATTTCGACTTGTCTATAAAAGTGACCTTTGCTCCCTTCAGACACTTATAAATAAGAAAATGTATAAAAAGCAAGAGACTTCCTTTCTCCCATATGTATATTTTATATAATTTTTAAGGACTTAGCAGTCTCCCTAATCTGAAGTCAATAAATGATATCTTTATTATTTAGTTGTAGATGGAAAATACCTAAATCTTTATGTGGTGCTTAGGCTTGAATCCAGTGCCTCACACATGCTAGGTGAGTGCTCTACCACTGAGCCACAGCCCCATAATATCTACTATCTTAAAAATCAAGAAATATTATCTAGAAACATAAAAGAGTGAAGAATTAAAGTAATTGCCTTTCAGAATGGGAAACCAGCTAAGGTGAGAATGGTGAATGCATAGTCTCATGCATTATTGAAATCTTTGATTTTTAAGACAATAATCTTGACTTTTAAAATTATATGTCTGACAAAAAAATATTACCAGAAGTAAGCAAAGATGTACCAACAAAATAATTAGGCAATGGATCAAGGGTAGAGCATGTGCTTAGTATATGGAACAAGGCCCCTAGGATCAATCCCCAGTCCAATAAAGAAGAAATATAGAGACCTAAATTAGGCATTGCTGGGACATTTGAGTCTAACCCACTGAACTTATACACAGAAGAGAACATAGATCTCCGAGTAAGATTCTATAGGAATAACATACACTATATTGAACTGTGCCTTTGGCTTTGTGTGTACCAGTAAACTGGGCACAATGGTGCACACCTGTTAATTCCAACAACTTAGGAGGCTAAGGCAGGAAGATCAAAAGTTTGAGGCGAGACTGGGCAACGTTGTGAGACTATCTTAAAATAAATTAAAAAAAAAAAAAAAAAAAAAAAAAAGGCTGTAGCTGTGGCAGAGAACTTATCTAGCACATATGAAACATGGGGTTCAAATGAATGCCCCAAACCACAAACAAGCAAAATGAAAACCAGAAAAAAAGGAAAAAAGAAATACAAAAAAATAGTAATTTTGAATATTCCAAAACTTACTCTATCTACAATAAAAAAACAAAATGAATGAAAAACATAGAAAAGAATCTTCTTCCTTTTTCCCTGCTTTTTTTATAGTGCTGGGGACTGAACCTAGAGAAATTTTTAGCTCTTTTTAATGGCAAAACAACAATAACAACCAGGAAGTATATGACCCAACAACCCCACTTCTGGGTATATGTATAAGAGAATCAAAAACAGGGTCATAAACAGGTATTTGTGCATCCATGTTCACTGCAGCATTATTCACAATACTGAAATTCAGTAGAAGCAGCCCACAAAACCCTTGAGAGAGGAACAGATATGCAAATTGTGGCACATGGAATGGAGTATTATTCAGCCTTCAAAAAAAAAGAAATTCGGATACATACAACAACATGGATGAACCTCAAGGATATTATGCTAAGTGAAAAGCCAATCACAAAAGGACAAATGATGTACAAATTCACTTATATGACGTACTTAGATTATCTAACTTATCTTCTTAAAATTAAAAGATTTCAATGATGCCTGAGACTACTGTACCACCATTATCACATTAGCTAATTCTCTGTTCCCAAAGGCAACTGTTTTAATTATTCACTCATCCTTTCTGTTCAGAGACAGAAAGTATAAGATTACCAGAGCTGGGAGAAATGGAAAGCAGGGAATAGCTGTTTAATGTGTTATCAGTTCTGGAAGATGAATAAGTTCTGGAGATTAGCTGTACAACAATGTGAGCACACAACACTATCTGTACCAAACACCTAAACATGGTTAAGACAGTAAATTTTATGACATATTTTAAATTAAAAAAAAACAAAACCAAAAATAACCACAAGGTTACAGAACTACACCATATTATAAAAATACTATAACATTTTCACTGAAAACTAAAAAAGCACACAACAAGTGTATTAAGTGATAGTTCCCCATTCAGTAGTACCTACCTGTACATTTATACAACATGCCTGTCATAGTTCCAGCTGCTACTGTGTTGAGGTCATCTTCTGCACCTCTTGTTTTCTCAATGATAACACCAAATGCACTATAAAGCAGAGCTAAAGGAAAAATAGAAGTGATGTTATAAAAGTGTGCTAAAAGTCAGTATGGCAATAATATTTAGATAAGTTTATCTGAAGATACACAGAATAATCAATGGAACGGTTTCTAATAGCAAAAGCCTGGCAACAAATAAAATGCATTTGTACCATCTAAACTGATACAGGAAGAAACTTTCCATACAATGAAATACTACAGTCACTTGAAACAAAAACCATTAATAAACAAAGCAGGCACATATGCACACTAGTACATGACTCTGATTGGCTATGCAAAAAATAATCTATGTAAGTTTTCAGAAGAGTAACTATTTCTATATACTACTCCAGGAAAGCCCAAAAAGTATATTTTAAATTTTTCATTTATATGTTACCCACATATACCCAGTATATGTACTTTGGATTAAGTCTGTTATAATTAGCCAGAAGATCTAAGAAATAACTATATCCCCAATTAATAAGAGAATTACAACTCTGGACAGGGAACAGCTGGAATGTAGCCTTTGAAATGCCTCTTTAAAAACCCTCCATTCCCCCTGATGGGCAGAATCATAGCTTCTAGGACAGGATCCCCCCATGTTTGTCTTTTGCTAGCAAAGCAGTAAAACTTTTCCCTTTTTCTCATATTTTGTGTGTGTATAAAATTAAAAAGAAATATAAAGTTTGATTCTTGTACATGTAAAAAACTATAACATTGGCACCATTTGGTTTTACATGATTTTCCCCCAAACAACCCTCAACCTCTGCTACTTTTAGATTCCTATCAGACATGAATGCATTAACGACTTTTCTTATCCTTTCACAAAATCATAGCTATAACTGACCCTTCAACATTATACCAAACTTAAGACTTATAACTCCTTTGTTATGGTATTTCATACTTCTATTAACGTTCATCTATCTGTTCAACTTATATAACTACAAGTGAACATGAGTAGAACATTATGATTGATCATATTACAAAAAGAATACAGAGTGACAAACCCAGTGACCACTTTGCTTAGGCCCGAGAGGTTTCTTGCAATGTGGGATGTATAGTGCTAAAACTGAGAAAGTCTGAAGCAAAAGGGACAGTAACTACCCTGGGTATATAAGCAATTAAAAATTAACAAGAGATCTGGGCATGGTGGCACTTGCCTGTAATCCCAGCCGTTTGGGAGGCTGAGGCAGGAGAATTACATGTTCAAAGCCAGCCTCAGCAACTTAGAGAGGCCCTAAGCAACTAAGTGAGACCCTGTCTCAAAATAAAACGTAAAAAGAGTTGGAGATATGGCTCAGTCGTTAAGCACTGCTGGGTTTAACCCCCAGTACAGAGGAATTAACAAAGGAGGTGAGGAATTAACAAAAGAGGGTGACTGTGTGCACACACATGTTGGGCATGGAGACACAACGGGGACAGGAGAAATGTAGGCATGAGCAGCATATGGAAGTAGCTATTTATTAGAATCAAAATGTGAATCTGGCTTTAAGGTGTTCAAACGCACTGCTTCTAAAGCCCACAACAAGGCTGGGATCTTAGTATATTATAAGAGGATTTTTCTACCTTTTCAATGAGTTTTCTACATTTTCCCTTGTTTAATCTGCCACAAGTAAAAGATTTCCAGACATTCAGTTAAGCTCATAAATTATGAAAACCTTGTGTTAGGGCATATGTGCCACAGGCTGGTCTATTTTAAGTCATCAATAATCAAAAGAGCCTGTCATTTATAAATAACTCGTGATGAAAGTATTTGGTTCTGACTAAGCACTACTAAATTACCTCTTACCTAGAACTGCCAATGTTTTTGTTATCTACAAAGAAACTATTATAACTCTGGAATTAGGTCCTTGAAATCTGCTGAGCAGGTTATTAGGAAAAAAGTAATAGCACTGGACTAATCCATCATGTCTCCACTTTAGAACCTTGAACCTTTCCCAACATACATAGCCCTTTGCCTCAGACCTAAATCATCTGAATTTTGTTTAGTTAAAATTTGACCTTATTTGGTGTCCTGCATGGACAAGAGAAGGCAGTGTTTAAAATATTTTAAAACGTTTAGAAACGGTATACAGAACAGAAATAGCACCTACTATTTTATTAAATAATTCAGGGTCTTTTTTCTAATGATATCCTACTCACCAAAGTGGATTTAAACATAATTGTTTCAAATCCTTGAATCAGAATTTTGGTTGATCAAATTGTTCATACTTATATATTCTTTCTTCGCATTATAATATGATTTATTATCAAATGAGATTTCTACTTACCCAGAGAACCTAGAGTATTAGCCCAAAGTGCACCTTGCCTAGTCACCATATTCAAAATCCTACCAGGGAAGAAAAAATCTGTATTAAGAATCCATAGTTCTGTAGTAACCTAAAAAAAACATAATAATAGCTTTTTAAAATGCCTAAAGTCAAGCCTCAACATTTTCTTAATTTTGAGATACATTTTAATGCCTCCTGACATTTCAATAAAGATGGTTTTTATGCTATATAAAATAAGGGTTAGGTTAAAATTCTCAACATTTTGGTTAAAATTCCCATATTAAATATAAAAAAATTATTAAACATGTATAAAAAAACTTTGAATAACAACTTGGAATATACTCTATGTGAAGTAGAACTGAACATTAACAACCATCTAACTAGAATACATGGAGGAAGTACCGTGTCTGCTCCCTAACTTGAACTAAGCAGCCAAAGTGAATGCTTAGCACACTCTCAAGGAAGCAAAGTCCTGCCTTGTACCAGTGCCACATGCTACCAGAACAGTGACATAGGCAACTGGATGAAGACAAGATATTCCTCTCCCAGCAGTGTAACACCATCACAGGAATGGTTGTGTCCGGATAGCTGACTACTGCTGGAAACAATGGAAATATAATAACAAAGAGTAAAAGAACTCATTAATTAACGTTCTATAGTATAAAAATTTGTATTACTTCTAACAATGTTTAAAAACATTAATATCCTCACAAACAAAAGTATTTCTAATTAAATTATTTACTAATGTTTTAAGTTCAATATTTTAAAGTCTGTAATTAGCTTTAAAAATATTAATTTTCATTTTTGTATTGCTGGAGGTACTGCAAATTGGTAAAATTCTTTAGGATGCCTATTAAGCATAACCATCCTCAGCAACCAACAGCCACAGTTATTGTGTCCCATAAGGCAGAAAAGTAGAGGAAGTACACTCAAGATCACAAAACAGTAAACAATAAAAACCACATGTATCTGTTTGATCCTAATCCTATCTTCTTTTCATTATTAAATGCTGCCTCTATGTATAAGAATGATTATAAAACTACTACTGTTTTAAAAAATAAAGTCTTAGGGCTGGGTTGTAGCTAAGCGATACAGCGCTTGTCTGGCATGTGAGAGGCCCTGGGTTCGATCCTCAGCACCACATAAAAACAAATAAATAAAATAAAGATATAAATAAATAAATAAAGTCTCTTCAAAGAGACTTTTCACTTCCAAATTCATACTTAACATAAAGTGAGGAATTTGTTTCAAAACAATACAGGAGAGGAGATGGGACATAATAAGCTGTGGCTGATGGTTGCTAGGATGAATTATGCTTCATAAGTATTCATCATGCTATTTTGTTTACTTTGGTATTAATTTAAAATTCCTCATATACAAGAAGTAAAAAAAATTACTGGAGCAAGGGACAAATGTTACAAAAATAAACATAAAATACTGAAGGAAGATGGTAATTTAAGTACAGTGATTCACATAGTAATAAGAATATTAAAAGCTTCTAATTCAGTAAGTCTGCTGCCATCTGCTGGCTGAATAATACATATGGAAGATGGAGTTCAAAGTGTCCTAAAAAAACCCATGAGCCAAAGAATACATATTTGTGATTCTACTTATATCAAGAATAAAAACATGCCAAACAGAACAACTTACTATTTAAGCAATATTGATAGAGACTGGTTATGTTTATTTCTTAAGCACAGTGAAGACATATGTATACTTTCTGGACCTTAAATGTACCTTCCCTTCTCTGCAAATTAAAATTCCTGAGGAAATCTTAATCTTTTAAATCTACCTCTAAGTTCTAGGAATTACATTTAAAGTTCTTTGGCTCCTCATTTCAGAAATGGAGAGTGAAGACATTAAGAAATTCAGGTAAAATGACAGACTTAGCATTACTCTTTTGAACTGCTTATTTCTTCATTACCAAGTTCTCCAGTTCTGCATGCCCCTGAATAATCCAAAGTTTATTACTAATAATTCAACTATTTGAAAAGCATGTCATATAAGCTTGGGGAATGGAATCCCCTAGCTGCAAAGTTAGGCTGGTGTAGCACCAGCTGACTGAGGGACACTAACTCAAAAATCACTCCTTTTAAAAGCTTACATTCAATAATTGGATTCCTTGGTTCCTTCTATTTTGAGTAAGAAAAAAACATAACAGGAAAAAACAAAGTATATCAATGTTCTAAACATTTGCAATCTCAGATTTGTGCCCATTACACTACGAGAGCAGAGGTTAATATTCAAGGATCATTGTATCAGATGATTACATGAGACTTACTGTACATTTCTTGGTTTGGACCAGGCCATGTTCTGGGTTTCCTTCAATCCTAGCCGAAGACCATTCACTGCTCCAAATGCAGCTCCTGGTAAATCATAATAATTCATCCAAATATAGCTTTGTATTAAAAAACAACAACAACCATACTTCTGAGTAATTTTCATTTATACTTAATAGAAAAGAAGGATAAATATAAATACCAAAAAAACATTGAAAATATTAAAAAAAAAACCCTTAAAACCAGTATTCTAATTCCTTTTCATTTTAAGCACCATCAACTTTTTTTTTAAAAGAACAATTTATTTTAAATAAACCAATTACATATTTACATAAATAATTTATTTAATAAAAATCATTCCTCATTCCTGATAATTCTTCTTAAGGTAGACATAGAATTAGCTAGTTTGGTTGAAATATTTTCCACCAGATACCTAAAATGAATGCATTTCCTTTATTTCAAGGCTAGTTGCCCTGTCAGTATATATATTATCCATCTGAGTTCTGTTAATTCTATAAGAACCCAAAGCTCTTTTGTTTCATTGCTGACCCTTGTTCAAGACAACAGCATCCTCAGCACTTTGGAAACAGTTATGTGATGGAAGTAATGTAGGATTTGAAAAGCCAGGGGATTGAAAAGTTTGATGTGCCATTTAAGATCTACATGATCAAGAGTGATTACTATTATTTAAATACCCCATGATTCACTTTCCTCATCATCAAAGTGAAAGCAGTAATTCATGTCAGCTAAGGCTGATGATCATTTATGTAATAGTGATGTCCATGGTGCTTAATAAGCTGGAAAATAAGTATTTATCAACAAAACAAAAACAGAACCCAATTATTTCCTAAATTCCCTTGTGAATGTACTATAGAGCTGACTCTGGCTATTGACCAAAAATAAAATAAAGAACCTGGGTTGGACACCATGATCAGTTGGAAGAAGCTAACATAACTAGAGAAATGCTGCAATAATTCTAACGTAGCACCATCAACTTCTTAAACTGAGGACACCAAAGGAAAAAAATATATCATTACACCCACCTGTCATACAACATCCTCCAATGGTAAGGAAGGCTAGTTCAAATCTGCCCCGTGTTTTATTAGCTCCAGTTGGTAAAATAAACTCATCCGTATCCTAATGGAGTAATAAAGAAAACCAAGTTGAGCATCACTCAAGACAGCACCTGAAAACTACTTTTAACTTTTCAAAGCAGTTTTTCTAGAAAGTAAAACATTGAATTAATGCAAACTCAACTGTCTTTTTATGGGGTGGAGGGTACTGGGGATTGGACTCCCAGCCCTATTTTGTATTTTATTTAGAGATAGGGTCTCACTGAGTTGTTTAGTGCCTCGCTTTTGCTGAGACTGGTTTTGGTTTTGAACTCGCAATCCTGCCTTGGCCTCTTGAGTTGCTGGGATTACAGGCATGTGCCACCATGTGTGGAAACCTCAACTATCTTATTTAAACAAAAATAAAATTGTCTGCAGCAATAGCAATACCTAAATCAAAGTGAAAGGAAATACATAATACATTTTGTTCTTAGGAGGGATTCTCATTTAGCACTTGTTTCCCTCAAAATGTAAATCAGATAGATAATATGTAATCTGCCTTAATGACAAATTTGAGGTGACAGAGTGTAGAAAGAACAGCTTTAAAGAAAAGAACACTGAAAGCTATAAGAATTAACAGATGACAGACTGTCAAGTCTGAAGGAAAAAAATAATTGATTTTGTAGCAACTAAACCTTGAATACCATCTTACACGTGTAAAATCAAATGATCCTCAAAAAATGAGCAAGAACTATTAAAGTACAATCATCTGTATCAGTCATCAGTCATACAAGGGCAAATTATACCCTCAATAGTATTTTTTTTCAGCTGGGGATTGAACCCAGGGCTTCATGCAAACTAGGCAAGCACACTACCACTGAATTATACCCTGACCGCATATATTCCTTTAATAACCTTAGGAAGTTATAGACCCTGTTTGTAGTAAATGCATAATTAACATGAGTCCTTGGAAGATGACCCAAAATCCTGGGTTGAGAAATGCTACTGAGAGGGGCTGGGCATGTGGCTCAAGCGGTAGCGCGTTCGCCTGGCATGCATGTGGCCCAGGTTTGATCCTCAGCACCACATACAAAGATGTTGTGCCTGCTGAAAACTGAAAAATATTAAAAAATTCTCAAAAAAAAAAAAAAAAAAAAAAAAAAGAGAGAAATGCTACTGAGAGCAAAAAATGATGATCAATTTAAGAGTCAATATACAGTTAGAAAAAACAGTTTCATTTAAGGAAAGCTTTCCATGAAAAAATAGCTTTGGCAAATCCCCTGATGGATAGCACACAGAGTGTGCCACATTCAACATACTAAAACCCACTAAATATCAACATTTATCCCACTCCTTGTATCAAATACTGAACTTTGGGATGCTTCTTGACATTTAAATTATAGTGATTTTAAATACAGTTATGCTGAACCTTATCAAGCAAGCTCAAGGGCATGTCAGCACAAGCTCACTCAAGGCTTGGAAGCAAATGTACATCAATTCATACACAAAACTGACAGTAAAGTATATTAATACACTGAATATAGGAGAAGATACGTTGAAAAGTTCTTGTTAAACCTGTACTGGTGACACTCTAGTTGGACACTAGTGTCACTAAAATACCATAAGTTTGTTTGTCAATACAGAAGACAAATGAATCTAAGAACAGATATCAATGAACCTGATGAAATAGTCAGAAGGCTGAGATTATGTGTCATCTTTATAATTTCATGTGAATACTACTATGGACACTGGAAATTATTTAAAGTCTCCTTGTTTTTATACCAGATATTCATATGGGCTAACAGAGAACAAGATTTATTAACATAATTTAGAAAACATTTTAGGGATGATTTAAGAGTAGTGATAATACAAAAGCAATAGCAAGAGAAAGCACAGGGCTGGGGATGTGGCTCAAGTGGTAGCGCACTCGCCTGGCATGCGTGCGGCCTGGGTTCGATCCTCAGCACCACATACAAAACAAAGATGTTGTATCAGCCGATAACTAAAAAATAAATATTAAAAAATTCTCTCCCTCTCTCTCCTCTCTCACTCTCTCTTTAAAAAAAAAAAAAAGAGAAAGCACAAATAAAAATTGATGCCAAAACTACTATATGGTCAGTTGACGGGCACTATTTAAGATATATTTAATTTTCTAAAAGTATAGAAAAATATTTTAAAAATGTAATTTTTATTAAGGTATCATCTTTACATTTGTTTTCGATTGTTACATGTAACATGAAGACAAAAAGGTTTAGAAAAACATTTTCAATTC